AAATCGATTGAAAAATGTAGGAAATCCGATCCAATATATAAACACACACACACACACACACACACACACACACACACACACACACACACACAACCTGGGTTTTATAATAAGTATGATTCAGTGCTAGTCCATTACGATTTTTTGACTGGATTCTTCATGTCTCATTCAATATGTCAGAGAGAAAACAGCTTTCTTCGTGAAGAGATCTTTCGATCCGTTCTGTGGTTGTCAGTTGTCATGAAGACTTTGATGATTCCTGCTATGCGGTGACTAATTTTCTTGAGTTGAGGGAGGAAGGGATCATGACGTCATTCAGCCTTCTAGCTCTATGTGTCTTCAAGGCTTCTGTGTCGCTGTCAATATATATATATATATATATATATATATATATATAAACGAATGACGCGATCTCCCTCATTTATGAGCATTTCCAATAATTTGCATACGCACCAGGAGACCTTAGATACGCAAAATAAACATATAAGTTGCCTTTTCTTTTCTTTCCCTGCTAGCATATAAAAAATCAACTCAAACTCAAACTCAAAAAAATAAAAAAAATATCAACTCAAAATCAAAAGCAAACGATAATAAACGTCTTCGATAAAAAACAAAAACATTAAACTAGCAGACAATACGTTTAGTGATATTTTTTCAGTTGTCATGGAGACTTTGATGACTCCTTCTATGTGTTGACTAACCTTCTTGGGTTGAAGGAGGAAGGGATGATGACGTTACTCACCCTTCTAGTTAAATCAAGTATGTGGGTCATTTCCTGGAAAGTTAAGTTCCATCTTTAACATATTCTCACTATCGGCACTTTCTTTTATTCTGATTTTCATTCACCTCCAACCAACGCGAAACGACGAAAGCAAATGGATGATGGGAGCAGCTTTTGGTGAAAATGGAAGCTTCTGCTCCTGAACCTGCCCGTTGGCGGCGAATTTGGTCATCATAAAAGAAGCGATCAGCAACGAAGAAATTAAATTCTTGAATGCGAGATAAAACCGACAACGATACAATATTTTCAATATCTTACGTAGCCAATCAGATGGATTAGAGTTTTCATTTGTAATGGCGATTCTTGCTAGTCAATATTAGATACGAAACTACACACAAAAATTTGATACATAAGTCGCAGTAAATTTATTTTTGAAAAAGTCAAAGAAAAAAGATAAGGATAAAATAGGGATTTTCAGAACTATTATTGGAAATGACGTCATAAACTCAACACTAGATGACGTCATAAACACCTTTTTTGCATAGATTTCAACAGATTTATTTTTACACTTTACACTTTATCCAATAAGCTGAAAATAAGGTTTCTGGTAGATAAATGCCGCCCTCAAAAACTATTTATTTGAATGTTTAACGAGGCATAATATTAGGCTTAGTGCAGCGATAATCGAACCTGTCTAGCTGGCTTATTCATTACAGAAAAAAATAGAGAGAGAAAAAAGAAATGTTCGACATTTTTCAGAAACATTTCACTCCAGCCAAAATAAATAACCTCCAAAACTGAAATCGTCACTTGGGGATATATATATATATATATATATATATATATATATATATATATATATATATATAAAGAGACATTTTTATGTTTATACATTCTTTTTTTTATAGATACAAAAATTTAAGTAAATGCTCTGTTTATGATAAACAACATTTACCGGCCTGAATGTCCGAGAAATTTTCATAGATAAAAAAACAAAAAGATTAAACTAGCAGACAATACGTCTAGTGATATTTTTTTCAGTTGTTATGGAGACTTTGATGACTCCTATGTGTTGACTAACCTTCTTGGGTTGAAGGAGGAAGGGATGATGACGTCACTCACCCTTCTAGCTAAATATGCTGACCAAGGCATCCGAGCCGTTGCCAACAAACAAACAAACAAACAAACAAACAAAAAACAAATGGCGCGAACTCCCTCTTTTATGAGCATTTCCATCGCGAATCTTACGAAATAATTTGCGTATGTACCAGGAGACCTTAGATAAGCAAAATAAACATATTAGTTACCTTTTCTTTTCTTTCCCCATCAGTATATAAAAAATCAACTCTAAAGCAAACGATAATAAACGTCTTCGATAAAAAACAAAACATTAAACTTGCAGACAATACGGCAAGTGATATTTTGTTACTTGAATACATTTTTTTTTAATTTTAAAATGAAATACAGTGTATCTACAAAATAAGTGTACATACGAAAAATTAACAAAATATGTTTTTTTATCGTTATATATGCATAAATACATTTTTATAGTAAAATTACCAACAATACATATTTATAGTAGAAGTTGCAACAATACGTTTTATAACAAAATGATCAACAATACATTTTACCTGTAGTTGAAGCCATAAAATTGTATTTAAAATATTTAGATTTCAGTATTAAATAACCCATAGAGGTGTTGATATGCCACTAAAGAAAATTAACCAACCAATCAACATGAAAGAACTCTTTTACATGATATCCTACAATATTTTAAAGAAATAAAACTGTATTCCAAAATATAACTTCAACAAAACTGCAACATAGAACACACATATCACCACCTCTAGTAATTATGTCCATGCAAATATGTATATATGCACAAAAGCTGAGTATCAACTACCATGTATTCAATTGCGAAAGCAGAATATCATATCATATTTTTATTACTATAAAGCTTCCAAGAAAATTAAATCTTGGTGTTAAATGACACATATTATAGCTATTTTCTCGTCCAAGTTTTGGATTGATCGTTGTAGTCTATTCCAACGGTTATTTTGGAATAGACCTCGTCCGGGGGATGTAGACAGATCCGAACACATTTATGTGGGTTCTACGCGGAATTTTTGGCAGTGCCTACTGGCTAGGATGTCCCACGGTAAACTCGGCCTTGTGCCACATCTACCCTCTCTTCTAGTAAATATTGACTAGCTAGGATCTTTTCCGTTTTATACGGGGTCTACGGGTTTTTTTTTGTCCGAGCCTACGAGCTCAGATTACTCCACATTAAACTCTGCCTTGTGTCACATCCTACCTCGTGTGGAGGCTGGTAAATATCGACTAGTTGCGATCTTTTTCATCTGTGCTGGCCAAACTATCTGCCTCCGGGCAGAGAGGATCCCCAGACGAGGCTATGTCGAAGGGCAGAGTCTCGGAAAACAGTCATCCGATCCCGTTTTATACTGGGTCTACGGGGAATTTATGACCGAGCCTACGAGCTCGGATTGCCCCACATTAAACTCGGCCTTGTGCCACATCCTACCCCGTGGGGATGTTAGTAAATATTACTAACTGGAATCTGTAACTCAGCTCTTTGCTGTTGTCGAACTCTCTGCCTCCGGGCAGAGAGGAACCCGGACGAGGCTATGCCGAAGGGCAGGGACTCATCCAGGGCGGTAGACATACCCGAACCCGTTTATGCGGAGTTTAAGCGGAATTTTTGGCTGAGCCTACGGGCTTGGATGCCCCACATTAAATTCGGCCTTGTGCCACATCTGACCATGGGGGAAGGTTAGTAGATATACTAGCTGGGATCTGTTATTCATCTCTTAGCTGTTGTCGGATTCTCTGCCTTCGGACAGAGAGGAACCCGGACGAGATGCCGACAGAGCCGAACCCGTTTATGTGGGGTTACGGGGAATTTGGGGCCGAACCTACGGGCTTGGATTGCCCCACATTAAATTGGGCCTTGTGCCACGTGGGGAGGTTGGTAAATATTACTAGCTGTGATCTGTTGAGTACGACTCAGACTTACACAAGAACTACCGACCTTCCAATAGTAGCACTCACTACTGGATTGAGTTGCGACGACCTTGTGCATAACTGTTACCTTATTTCTTATTGAACTGTTTTTTTTTACAATAAACCTTTACTTATTATATCCACCTTGTTTTTCTAGTATATATTCCTATTAGCACGGAATATAACACAAATACATAACGAAAAAGACAAATATGTATTAATTGAAACATTGCGTTTCATCTTCAATGTTATTATATAATATTCAGAAATTATAACGAAATCATTTAAGTTTATGGAATTACATTATGTTTTTTGTAGTTTCTGTAAGAATAAAAAAACAGAAAATTAGAAAACGTTTTTGACAGATCTACAGAAAACTCTAAAAACATTTTTTCTCAATATTACTGCTAAGTCGTCGGCGATGTAATATCTCATGTACTATATTGCAGTATATGTTGAATCGTTTCTTTTAAATGAAAAAATTACTTTCAGAAACAAGGGCCGCTTAAGCTACATCACCTTGTAACGCTCGTTCTCTTCCGCTCAACGCAGTTAAGCAATGTCGAGCCAACTCAATGCCTACATTGGTGACCAATTGGGAATACCAGTTGCTGTAAGCTTGGATGTGCAGTGGTCTAAAGGACTTACGTTGAAAAATCGTTTCCCTTACGATCACCGAAGTTAAGTAAAGTCGAGGCTGGTCAGTATCTATATGGGTGATCACTTTAAAATACTAAGAGCTGTAAACTTCGAAGTGCGGGCGGTCTAAAGAAATTGCGGTTGGATCACGTTCAAACACTGTTTGCCTTACTATCACCAAAGTTAAGCAACGTTATGGCTGGTCAATGCCTACATGAGTGACTAGTTGGAAATACCAGGAGCTGTAAGCTTTGATGTGTGGGTGATTTAAAGGTTTGCGGCCGTTCACGTTGAAACATCGTTTCCCGGATGATCACCGAAGATAAAAGAAAAAACGTCGACGTTGGTCAATATTTAGATGGGTGACCACCTAGGAATACAAAGAGCTGTAAGCCATGATGTGCGGAAGGTATAAAGGGCTTGCGATCAGATCACGTTGAAAGATCGTTTCCTTTACGATCACCGAAGTTAAGCAACGTTGGGCCTGGTTTCTGGTAGAAATATCGTTTCCCGTACGATTACTGAGGTTAAGCAACGTCGAGTCTGGCCTATACCTAGATGGGAGACCACTTGGAAATATCAGGTGCTGTAAAATTGCATGTAATGTGAGTCTAAAAGGCTTACAGTCACATCACGTTGCAGCAGCGTTTCTCGTACGATCACTGAAGTTAAGCAACGTCGAGCCTGGCCAATACCTAAATGGGTGACCGCTTGTGAATGCCAGGTGGTATAAGCTTGGACGTTCTGGTGGTTTAAAGGGTTTACAACCATATCATATTGAAACACCGGTTCTCGTAAGATCGATGAAGTTAAGCGAAAACTTTTACTTCAATAGCAGTAATTTTCCATTAACTGTTCACCAATTACAAGGCCCATAAGCCACTCAAGGTAGAGGTTTACTGATTAAGATTGTTGCAAATAAGAGGTGGTGGTAAAAAGTGGAGTTTCAGTTGATATGTAGGATGGATAATGGTTGACCCTCGACTTGAAGTGATTTATCCCCTCGGGAAACTTGTTTCACGAAGCAGCGGTTCTTGGAAAGAAGCTGACTTGGAACTTTTTCTTACTAATGGAATATGAAGATAATGGAATATGGTTCATTCTAATGTACATGGCATAGTGCATCTTAGTTGTAAAGAACAGAACAGATGGAAGTAAGGAATACAGCTCGTCAGAAGATTTACCAGCGAGATGTTTGCGACGTTTCGTCTGTAGGATAGAGGTCATAGAGTGGAAAATAATCCATCACCTACAAGGCCGCGAAGCCGCTTCTGAACTCTGAAACTTAGAAAGTCAGGGTTGGTCTACTCCAGCCCAGATATGGCATAAGTACTCCATTTTTAGTTCTGATCTGGCTCTTGTAAAGACGGCATATCAAGCGGAGTCTGGAGCGCTACAAGGAACCTCTGATTTTCCCAGCATCTTCCAACGATGGTCCGTATATATGAGTTCCGTTTAAGGTCTGGAATAAGGCTGAGTGCCAATATGCGTTTAAAGCAAGGATCTTCCTTCAGAAAACAGCTATGTATCATGACAGGCGAAAGTTCAAGATCTACTCGGTGCGTCAAGCCAAAGGTTAACCGTTATCTTTCCTACATGTCCTCATGATCCGCATTACTTGTTCCCCCCCTTACAAACATCAACCTCAATCAGTAGCACTCTACCTAGCGTGGCTCTTGAGCCATATACTGACAATTCTACAGAATGTATCTGTAGATCATTCACGTTTGGACTAATTTCTCTCTGATTTTTGTGAGTGTGTATTTGCTTTAGTATACATGTATGTGTTTATGCGTTTGTCTATACGGATGTGCGTTTGTGTATGTATACGTATGCCTGTGTGTGAATATATGCGTGCATGTATGCATGCGTTTGGGTGTATGCCAGTACATGTGTGTGCGTGTGGATACGTGTGTATGAATGTATTTGTATGCGCACTTGCATGATTGCGTGTGTATGTGCGTGTGCTTAAGTGCGTATGTACGTGTATATGTATGTATGTGTGCTTATACAGGTTTCTGTATGTGTGTTTCTACGTATGCGTGCGCGTATGTATGTGTTTGTGTATATTCGAGTGTGTGTGTGATAGTGTGTCTAAGTGTGTGTGCATATTTATGTAATTGTGTGTTCATCTGCATGTGTATGTGTACGTGTATAATTACATATAGTGATTTTCCAAGCTTAGCTCAAATGTAGCACAAGGGCATGTGTACACACACACACACACACACACACACACACACACACACACACACACACACACACACACATATATATATATATATATATAATAAATGTGAATGTCAGTGTGTCACACGTTTTCAACTAAAGGGACACAACTCGCTAACTTTCAATAGCTCATATTACGGAAATTTTGGATTGCCAATTTTTATTACTACGACTGTTTTCGGCGATTTTTCCATGCGAATTTTTATGACGATGCTTTTTTGTACGATAACAATTTTGATAACTTGGAAATAAATTTGAGAATAATTGACATTAATTGTGAAATCCAGCGAAAGTCACCAATGAAATAAACATAATTGTTTGTACGGAAAGTAAGGACCTACGTACATCAAGTTGTCTTTAAATGAGGTCGCGGCAAAAGAATTATCGTTGAACTTTTAAAAGGTAAGCTTAAATATTGATGCAATACTTAAATGCAACGATAAATTTTGAGTTCTTCTGTAATTTATTGTTGGCTTTTACGTACGGCAGTAGAATGCCTCTCAAAAAGAAATTTCCGCCAACAGAGGACAGATTTCAATCAAAAGAGCCAAGGCTGCAGCGAGGAAAAGAAAATTCTATGCAAATGAAAACCCAAATAAAACGGCAGTCAGAAGAGCTTCCAATGCTGAGAACATGCAAAGACTTAGGGACTCTCGAACTCCTGAACAGGCCAAAGGACCAATCAAGAACCGTCCGCAGGAGCTAGTTTAAATTTTGCCCGAATTGGGTGACCATCATGATTATCAAACCAACTACCATCAGATTTTTTTCTTGTGAGGTCTACTGAAAGATCTTGTTTATATGCACAAACCGAGAACAATTCCTGAATTAAAACGAGTAATTTCTGATAAACTTTTTGAAATTAATGTATAAATGGGTCAAATAGTTTGTAGAACTGTTGCTAATAGGATTCAGTGTTGTATTGAACATGAAAGGGGGGCATGTTAAATAGTTTGTTAATTATAATTCATGTTGTTTCATGTAGCAATACTTATCAATTTTCTTAAACTGCTGGAATTTATCTTTGTTAAGCAAAAATTAAAGAATAAAAAAGGCGTTACTTTTGCCACGCACTGTATATATATATATACGCATGTGTGCGCGACCGAATCAACCAATGTTGTTGATCTTATCTTTGGCGTTGACAGCTTTATTTTTTTTTCTTTTTTGTGTGTGTTGGGGGTCTGGTCTTCGTTTCATTTGTTCCGAATCGTTAAGTAAAATTCATACTCTGTAAACAACAAATAAGCATTTGCAAATTCGTTGTAATTAACGACAGATTTTAATTCGAGACAGAATTTCTATAAGACGACCATATTAATCTACCGACCTGGGTATGCCGATAAACTACATCTGAAAGCAAGGTCTCTGATCGGGAGGCTTTGAGGAGCATGGAAGTACCTCTTAATTGTTGTTGCTCCAGAGGTCCACCCTTATCCTGAGTGGTAGCACCAGTTAGGGTCCTAGCTATGGACAAATAACGAACCTTCAAACTGGGGTCAAAACACTATGAAAGTACAAAATACATTTTTATAGTCAGAATACCAGCAATATATTTTCATAATAAAAAAACATACCTATTTGTTCCTATATGTTGGAAAAGGAAAAGAAAAATTACCAGCAATATATTTTTGAATAAAATTTACCAAATTTTAATCAGACTTCGTAACTTCGTGACATGGATATTCCCAAACTCTACAATGAATTCCATATTATTATTTATTTGTCAATCTGTTTTTCTTTTATGCTTTAAGTAAAATCCTGCTAAGCGTTATAAAAACAATTACCTGTTAATTTTCTTCAAATTTTTCGAAAAAATACCACAGACCTATAACATAGTTAAAATGATTATAGATTAATTATAATACGTATACAACATTTAATAACGAATTCATTTTCTGTGTGATGTCTGATTCTGTGAAGTTGTCCTATACAAATTGAAATGTAGTGTTCCCCAAAATGCCAGGTTGTAGTCAATAAAATTATTGTGTACAAAGCTGACAACACACAGGTCTTGATAATGAATGCAACGGTTGAAAGTGCATATGCAAAAAACAGAACAATAATCATTTGAACAGTTGATCCACAAATCTGATTCAGCTATGCTCGGAATATAGAAAAATACAGTAAAATTTTAAACAGATTTTGTCGGTTGAATGCCTTATAACATCATTAAATGAATGCTTGCTGCATATATATATATATATATATATATATATATATATATATATATATTATAATTTAAAAAAACAGACCACTTTTAAGGTTCCATGTAATAAATTATTTCACCAGAGCCCTTTTAAAAGGACTGCGGATCATCAGACTTTACTTCCATACAAAAAATGAAAAGAAAATTTACGCATTTTTGACGGGCCGTATTAAACATATGTAAATTAACGAAGTGAGGAAGTGAGGGGGGAGAGAGAAGACATGAGTGAGTTAGCAGACATTGGCACATTTAAACGGTTAACTTAACGGAAGTTATATATTGATATCGAAGGGGTAGAGAAGAAACAAACCCATAGAGAGAAAAAGAGAGAAGGAAGTTATGAGAGAAGGTGTCACTAATTTTCTTCGTAAAAAAAAAAAAAAAGCCTAGAAACAGACGCTGTTATTTTGTTTATTTGCTCTGGATTTACATTGAGCTCTCTGGATTTTATCCTCGTTAGGTTTACCCATACGGATTACCTAGTTTTTCATAAACTAACTAACTATATATATATATATATATATATATATATATATTTCAGTCGAATCCATTACATTCACTTACGTGTTAACGCCCTTCTCACCCCCAGCTGTGGGTGTTTTCTTTTTATTTGTTTGTTTGTTATAATGATGGTATTTATAAGTTTGGGACGTTTTCTGCAATTAGAGGTATGTTCGTATACAGTTCTGCTCCGAGAGATGCAATGTCAGCCCTCTTGACAAACGAGCAGTTTTCCATACGACGGAATTATTCATGAATTTTTTTTCATCGGGAATTGGGGGATTTCAATTCACACATAATGCCGGCTTTGTATAGTTTGTTTTACACTGCGAAGTTGTGGTTGCTGATTACAAACGAAGCACATTGTAAGTCATTTTCAATGAAACATGGATTACGCAGGAATTATTGTCAAACTAAACCTTTATAGATACTGGCCAATTAATATATATATATATATATATATATATATATATATATATATTGTCATCCACAAACAGACTGTTTCGCTGTATCACAGCTTATCAGTGGCCAATTAATATATATATATATATATATATATATATATATATATATATATATATATATATATATATATATATATATTGTCATCCACAGACAGACTGTTTTGGTGTATCACAGCTCATCAGTGTGGCTAGACGAAACCCGGCTGAATTCTACGCAAAGCAGGGATGAAGGTGAATTTAAGCGTATTTATTTTTAGATAAACACACAGTGACTGAGAGAACTCGATTCGATTTACCGAACAGTCATGCATTGTTAGCCATAATAG